TCTATCTTATTGTTGTTGTGAACAAAATCATTGTAATGTATCTCTTTGTGTAATTGTGTGTTTCAAGTTACCAAATGTATGAGTTAGTTAATTAAACACTTCTGCAGCTGTTTATTACAAGCAACCGAAACTGAAATACTGAATGCACCCCGTACATCGACAGCATCCTAACATCCTGGTATATATGGTCTTGAGTGAAAGTACCAAATCGGTAGAGTTTCTGGTGTTAGAAGTATATAATTATGTTTAAGTTAGAGATAGAATTGGCTTAAACCATGTACAACTTGTCCCCTACTCCAAGTCTCTCTCCCTCATATTGTACTCTATATATACCCCATATCTGGGTCAGATCAATACAACATATAACAACAATATTAGTTATCCTACAATTTCCACATGGTATCAGAGTGGTTTGTCCAACGACGCCGATCCTAGGACCTTCAACCACTTTCGCAGCGTGCCGCCCCCGGGGAAATCAATCTCCTCTCCCCGGGGACGCCGCACCCGATCGATCAATGATTAGATTGGTTCCATAGATTAGATTAGTTTCAATTTTCGAAATTTCAGTAGATTACCTTTTCTTTTAGCCACAAATAAATCTGATGACCCTCGAATCCCGTGACCATGAGACAAGAAAAATCAAGCACCGATGTTCCTGTGGCAGCGGAGATCAAGACGAGCAGCCAACCAAGGGCTTTACGCACGACGCATCGTCTCGATCTCCCGACGCGAAGCTCCATCGACATGCTCAAGACGCCGCACGCACGAGCTCTATGGACCTCCCATGAGCCTGCTTCTCCGACAACGACGTGTACCGCCCGATCATGGGAGGGCAAAACTCCCGCAGCTTCCATCGCGTATGCGATCTCTCAGCGATCAGTGGCTCTACCCGGCGCACCAACGCTACTCCGAGCGGCAGGGAGGGCCACACAAATCTGCCTCTCCGGGCAGATCAATCTGATCGGGCATGCAAAGCTCCCGGCCACGACTCCGGCGCCTCTCGTGGAACAGGGAGCCGACTCCAGCGCGTCTCGCGGGCGCAGAAACACACACGCACGCAGCACAGCGGCATGCATGGAATCCAGGCTCCATCTGGGCTCATGGCCGAGTACGTGTACAAGACCGCAAGAGGCTCCACCTGAGGTATGCATATTCAGCAGGTCTATGTACGCGTCGACACAGCGACCCACGAAATAATCGAGCCGTCCACGAGCATCTACACCGAGCAGTACGTCTGCACTGCGCCGACATGCCATCTACATCAAGCCGAACGACCACGCCACCGATCTGCAACTACACCGACACCTCTACATCAAGCCGAACATCAACACCAAGCTGGTACGACTACATCGCCCCAATGAAAAAGAAAATTCTTCGTCGAGCAGATCTATGAGAAGCTACCACTACATGCACCATCCACGCGCCAAGCATGGTGTGGAAAGCGTGCAATTCTTCATCGTCTTCTTCAGCACGACACGGCATCGGCACCTGTCGCCACGAGGGACGCCTCCAAGCGACGCATCATCGTCGACACGCCGCTGCATCCCCGAAACTTCATTGCCAAGGTCTTCATCAACGTGGTCTTCATCACCATCATCGTTAACACACTGCCGCCGCCTCGTCCACAAGATGGACATCTAGCGTCCTCTGATATACTATTCTGCAAGATGCGACCTTGACGACGGCAATGACCGCGTCACGATGACGGCATCGACCGCGTCACCCACGACGGTACGACTGCATCGACACGGTGTCACTATAGTGACAACCCTACACGGCCACATGGTTCTGGCAAAACCGATGTGTGCTCGATGGGTTTCCACCGGTCTTGGCAAGACCGGTGGACTCATCGCCGACGGCACCCTTTGACATTCGCGAGGTGCATTGTCCACGTCTGCAGCCCCGTCATAGTGCATCTTTTTGCGCCTTCGGTTTTGTGCGGCTTCATCATCCACGACGATTACACCATCGACCACGACTACATCGACCACGGCTACATCACCATGATCGGCTACCTTGACGTCGACGTTAATGGCTTGTTCTACAGTAACACATTGGCAACAACTCCAGTCAACAGCGTCCGCGTCGTCACCAACGTCCACGCCACTCCCACTGTGACTGCGGAAGGGAATAGAGGAGAAGGCAGGTAGGCAACAGAAGGGGACGCACTCACCGTCCTAGGTGCCGGCCCATCAGAGACGCACTTGATGATGGCGCAGCGGAGAAGACGACGGAAGCACAAGAGTTTAAATTCAGTCATCATCGTCCGCTTCACACCCGCTACGACTGAGGGGGAATGTTAGAAGTATAATTATGTTTAAGTTAGAGATAGGATTGGTTTAAACCATGTACGACTTGTCCCCTACTCCAAGTCTCTCTCCTAAATATTGTACTCTATATATACCCCATACCTGGGTCAGATCAATACAACATACAATAACAATATTAGTCATCTTACAATTTCCACACCTGGAACACTTAGTTTCACTACTCCTCTGGTTGCTCCTGGTGGTGTTCACGCTGCCCAAGCCGTCAGTGCTGCATAATTTTCTGCCTGCTTGCTCCTCATGGAGTAATAGCCATTTCCGACTTCAGTTTGCACAACAACATTGGCGATTTTTCTCTCTATATCCAATACGAAACTCTCCATCATCCATCCTCCAAAGCAGCATTGGTCTATTGTGACAATACCAGTGCCACGTACTTGTCCACAAACTCAGTGCAATATCAACGTACTAAAGCATGTTGAAATTGATATTCACTTTTTTCACGGACGGTCTGCTCTAGGTGAAGCTCGCATACTTCATGGCCATGCACTTCACAATTTGCGGACATCTTCACGAAAGGGCACCCATCCATGGTCTTTCAAGACTTCAAATCAAGCCTCAGCAACCTGCCAGGTAATGTTCCGGCTGAAGGGGGTGTTAAAACCTTCGTTTCTAGTTAATGTGCTTGTTGCAGATTAAACAACGATCGATGCATTTTCTTGCAACTGCATTTTGTCTGTCCGGATGATATTTATTACTCGTCTAAGATAATTGAAGGAGCTATGTTATTTTCTGTTATGAATTGGTCTTTCTAACAACATTTTCAAAATAGACATCTTTGTACTATTTATAAAGAAAATGACATATTTTGGTCATGCTCGCTCGACGCACAAACATATTTTGGTTGATTTTCTTCAGAATACAAGGGCATATCTTTCAGTAAACTCATGTAGAACTGAAGGATTTTCTTCAGATTAGTAAACATATGTTGTCTCTATTTTTCAGAGCTCTCCTAGTTTTGGGATTAAGAGATCATGCATGTCTTACATTACAGCGTAGAAAATCCTAAACTGAAGGATTACATTGCAGTTAGTCA